GAATCCCATCCGGCCCCATAGACTTGATCTAGTGTAATGCCTTATGACATACCTGTATTGCTGAGAACAGCTGGGGACACATGCGCCACTTCATTTACGGCATATGCCATCTCACTGTAGCAACAATAACCACTTTTTGCTGACTGGGATGGAAAAATAGTTCCTCCTTGCATTTTGGCAAGCTGACAGACTAAATAACAACCATATCTATCAGTTACCTGAAGGCTCCGCTGTAGCTGTAATAACGTTCTTGGCTACTTGCACTGCATTTATTGTTGCCACTATCATCTCCAATACATAGCTGACAGAGTTTTGATGGGTAATTGTCCTGATTAGCTGAAGGCACACAGCTGGCAGAGAAAAACTCACTCACAGCTGAGGAAAGAGACAAACCAATATAATGAGTGAAAAACATGAGGTCTTCACAAGAAAGGTAGTTACACTGTCACAAAGTTTTAAACAATGCAGATTTCAGTAGAACACTAGAAACATGAGTTACAGCTGCCTTACTAGAATTCACAAACTACAACGTTTGAAATATTTTCAAAGCACTACTTAGCTGACTATGTAATGAAACCAAAGAGCTTCCTAGGAGACAGGAAATAGGCAAGCAAAATTTGAATCTGGAGTCCTGTGGTCATAGGTCCTTTGCTTGTTGTTCTACATTGCTCCATTACTAAACACAGTTTGAAAAGAAATGCAACAAAATTCAGGACAGGGATACATCATTTACTGCAATGGTATCCCAGAGCTGGAAGTATCACCTAGAGAGGATATGTCTGTATATACAATGTGAGTTTCTGTGACTATCCTATTACTGGTATCTGACTTGGGTCTATATCCTCAAGCAGAAGCCAAGACAGCCAGGTGTGAAAGCAGGATTTTCAAGACCATATAAGCTTAAAGTTGATTAAATACAAAAAACAAGGGACTCTTCAAATGCATTTCTGAAAACTGGAATAAACTTTGGCAGTTTGATACACTGGAGGCCAGGGCTGCCGTTGAGCTGGATCCGGACAGGCTGGAGAAACAGGCTGACAGGAACCTCAAAGTTCAACAAAGGCGAATGCACAATCCTGCTTTTAGGAAGGAGTAAGACCATGAAAGGCTGGGGGGAATGGCAGGCTGAAAACCAGCTCTGTACAAAAAAGATCCTGGGGATCCTGGTGGACAACAAGTTGACCAAGAGTGGGCAGTGTGCTTTTGTGCCAACGAGGGCTAATGGCACACTGGGTTGTGTTAGCGGAGCAGTCAGGGGAAGTGATGATTCTCCTCTGACATCTGTGCCAAGTTTTGAGCTCTCAGTGTTAGAAAGACACTGACTTTCTAGAGTAAATACAGTGGAAGGAGAGTAGGATGCTCAGAGGGCTGGAGCACATGACTCGGCACTTACCAGGCTGAGAGCTGGGTTTGGTCAGCCTGGAGATAAAGACAACTAACACTGTATTGCTGTCTTTATTTACATAGTGTTTTTTTTCAAGACAACAGAGCCAGATCCTTCTCAGAGATGCAGAGCAAAAGGATGAGAAGCAACAGACCGAAGTTAAAAGAAGTAAAAGTCTGATTAGATACAAGAAAAAAATTCTTTATACCAAGGATGGTGAAACACTGGGACGGAGGTCCAGAGAGGTTGTGTGACATCTCCATCCTAGGAGTTACTCAAAACCCTCCTGCACATGGCTCTGGGCAATCCCATCTAACTGAACTGGCTTTGAGCAGCTTGTTGGACCAGATGACCTCCAAAGGTCCCTTCCAATCTAAATTAGCCAATGATTTTGTGATAAAGGAAAGAAATACTTTTATGTTAGATGTAACATCCTCAGTATGACCCCTCCATTAGTCTACTCGGGTGGCAAACTTAAAATTTCAAATCATTACATTAAAAACACAACACCCCTTCACAAACAGATAAGCTTAATACAGAGCTATGAAATATCAAAATTACTTCCCTAATGAAAGTTTATCAGTAGACTGTTACTCTATTTTTGATATGTAGTGCTGTTGTCTTACCTTGAGGAATATTACAGTCTCTGGTCTTAATAATGCCCCTCTTAATCAGCACACCAATGGGGATATTCCATCCAGCCTTTCTCCCCAATCCTGTGTGGCAGGACTTCTTCCCTTTCAGGTCACTGATAGTGAATGTGTTGGACAGATTTCGTTTCACTAATGCCACAGCATAGTATGCATTGCTGTTGTCATCAGCTTGCAGAAAAAACAAAACACATTACAGCTTCCCTTAAGCATTCCCACTGCTTAATGATCATTTACACATCTGTTACACTTATCTGGTACCAACTTCAATTGTACCAACAATCAACTAGTTGGGAAGTATGAATGTACACATAATTACTCTTCACTTCTACTACTTCACAATGTTGCATTCACTTATAGTACCAGTATAATGGTACTACTATGCACTTGAACTGAATAATCTAGACACAAACATGAAAGTGTTCTTGTTAACACCAGCTCTTTTGAATACATCCCTCTGAAAAACAACATTTGGGTCATTAGTGACTTAGCAAAATTGCTTTAAGAAGTTATTTTTATATGAAAACCTCAAACCAGTATTAAAGTTTCTGTGAGTTTTGCAGCATATTGAAATTCCACCTTAGTGACACAGTGGACACAAGCCCTCTTTTCATCAGTGAATCTGAAGCAGCCACATTGACAGGAAGCAATTTGTTTCTAACTAGAATCTACTGCGCAATTTCTGTATTTTTGCTTCTGTTAAAAATATTTTGATTTTGTGAATACTAATTTTTTCCATTGTAAATATTTTTTTGCAGAATTAAAAAGACAAATAAAGAGGTACAAGACTTAAAGCTGCCAAAGATTCAACCTGGTCCTGCAGCAGGACAGATAAAAGTTGTCACAGACTCACTGTGGGAACCATCACATACTTATTTCCTCTATCCAGGATGTGAGGATAGTAATTCTCATTTCCTTTGAAAACAGCTCTCCCAGCAGGGCTAGGGAACAGACGCTGTGCTTTCAGAGCTGTTTTCAAACAACCTTATTTTAGGTCTATATTTATGTTTCCTGACCTTCTTACCAGAGTAGCTTTCTCCAGCAGCTGGTACAAGGCCATATGTCTTCCCAGCTGTGTAAATATCAGCTCCATCCAGAACTACAGCATCGCTTTCCTTTTTCTGAAAAATAAAAATTTAGGATTTTTGTGAAAAAAACAGGAGATATCTTCCCTCCTACAATGATGGCACCTTTGGCATCACACCTGTTTGCATCTCAAAGGGCAAGTCTGACAGCAAAAGAGCAACACACTGCTAAAGAAAACCCCCAAAACCTGCATAAAGCATCATCAGTGAGATGGGGACAGGAGATTTCACACAACAGGCTTGAGACAGATGGGCAACAATGCCCTCATCACAACTGAAGATCATCAGGGTTCAGGCCCATCCATATCACATGAGCTACAGATCACCTCCTTGAAATCCAGTATTTCTACTGCTTACGTAAGTGTGCGTATCTCTGATCCTACCTACCCAGTGGAGAGCAGTTTGTGTTAATTTGGTTTATTGCACAAGGATTGTAGCAGCCTACCTGGATCAGGTCCATGCACTGTTCCTTTGTCTTGGCGGAAATACACTGAATTGCTGGTTTCAAATTCTTTTCCTTAAAGGCAATGGCCATTTCACCACATTTCCAGATCTCCTCAGTGGATACAACACACCAGTTCAGGCTTTCTGGCAACGCTGCACAAGATTGGAATGCAAATACTACAGTTCACTGTCTTTGTAACAGACAAGGAGGGATACACACTGCCCACTGTCACATATGTACCATACGTGTTATTAAAAACGTTTACTTCTGTGTTTCTCTCTCTCTCTCCCCCCAGCTCAGACTTACAGCTGATTAGGAACCACAGAGCTCTCCAGATTAAGTGTATGTCCACACTGCAAACCTATCCATAGCAAAGGAACAAGAACTCCTATGACAGCTAAGCACCAAGTGCAGCCATGTTAGTTGAGTGCAGCAAAAAACCACTCTGAACACAGGCTTCCTCATACCTGACAGTCACAGAGCAACGCCTGGAAGAGACAAATCCAGGAAGCGAGGGGGTTTGCCACAGCACAGAGCATGTCTGGGAGGCTCAGTTGCTGCGATTATTACGTTTCTTAAGGCACGGATTCTTACAACCTGTGATTCAGACTTTGCCGGAATGCACATCAAGTAATTTCTACATTCTTCCGATAGTAGAACAGACCATAACTATTAAACAGCAACTGAGGGATTCTTCAGCTTCTGAAGGAAATTCTCTGCTAGGAACCCATTCATCCATTCTTTATAGACTACTAGATTTCCACAGCAACAGTTTACTATTTCCCCTTGTTAGCAGATTAATGTCTCTCATACGCCAAAAAGGGTAGAAAATGCCTGCATCTTATAACACAAAGTGGGCCAATTTGCACAGGAAAGCATTCTGCAATGTGGTAACTGTTTCTAGGTCAAAAAGCGACCTTTCTCCATGCTCAAAGATTAGACTGGCATCTTGCCATAACCCTCCAAGAGTCAGAAGAAGATAAAGCAGAATAAAGATGGTCTCTGTTACCAGCTATCTTTGTTCTTGGTTATGAATAGGAATCTAAAGATAACTTACTGTTGGGGTCGCAGCTCAGAGCTTGCATGGCATGAAGATACTCATCACCCAGCCACGCCTGGTAATTCTGAGCTGTGATTGCAATGAGCTCTGTGGTGGAGTCTCTGAAGAGAAGATTCTGGGCACCATAGGCTGTGGAGTCAAACATCTGAAACTTGGTGCCTACCCCATTAAATCTTTGCTGTAATGTTAAAGAAAGAAAAAAGCACCTGTCACACATCCCTCTACCTGGAATGTGTGACATCCCACACGTCTTCAGACCCCACAGAGCTGGAGGTGCCCAGATATTCTGTCTTCAATTCAGCTAGATGGGTGGGAGAGCCCCTCTAAAATGCAACGCACTGATGAAAAAATGGTGTCCTACTTGTCCCTGGTTCAGGAGCTGGAAGACAACTGTCCCATCTGTGTCAGGCCGCACAACCACGGCACGAGCTGGGATTCGGGCCAGGTGGCAGGTTCTCCACTCTGTCACATCAGCTGTGCTGCCATCGCGGCACAGAAGCTGGAAGTCCTGGGAGCGAAGCCGCTGGGCCCATGAAGACAGACTTCTTCCTGAAATCAGACAGAACATGCTTGTGGAACAAACACTGGGCAGGGCTGATGCTTCTGGCTCCATGTCTGCTCTAAGCATCACATGCACATGTGGAGCAGAACACACGTCTCCTGAGCATCTTTGAACTACTCATGACTGCACAATATAACCCATGCATCTATGTTGTCCTGAACTCTTGTATCTCTGATAACACAATAAACAGCTTAACATTTGTGAGACTGCATTGAGACATACTGGGGTCTGCAGCAGCATCAAGAGCATCCTTAAGTCTAGGATCACATGCAACATTTTTTGCCTTTCCCTGTACATGATGCTCGTACAAGCCCATGATATTAAAGTAACGTTATGCTCAAGGTAGATTTCACAAAGTGCTAGATAGGGCAGGCCACATCTTGTTATCTTCCTGCTAGTCTCTGCTGAAATCCCTGGGTAGGCAGGAGCAATGTAACAGCATGGGTCTGTATAAAACTAAGAGTTTAGTGCAGTTTAAGCTATCTTTCCACAAGAAGCTTAAGGTTCCACCTCTAACCTTTACTGAAACTATCACGCCTTTTAAAAAAAAAAATAAAAATCACATGGACTCCTCTGTCTCCTGCTGCATACATCTGTGGGTACATCTGTTTTTGCTATTAGAGCATTTTTTTCTGATTCCTCAATTCAAAATAAATCAAACATTTGACATTATACTGTGATTACAGATACTGTACTTCAGACCTTGCAGCTGCTATTCAACAAGCTTCTGGATTACTTACCATCCGTGTTTTCAGGCACTGTGCTGTGCTTCACAAAAGCGACTTCTCCAGCACCTTCAGCCAAACACCTAATAAATATAAATCCAACCACAAAAATGCGTTACAAAGCACAGCTCCCATGCACTGGACGCTACCGGCTGACAGCCAGAGGTTGTATGCTACGTTCCATCAGCCACAGACACTGACCTATTTCCTTGTGCTGAGAGTTTTGCCTACGGCAGAGACTACTGGCTGTTACAGCATGAAGTAAACTATCACTGTCAGCTGGTGAACACGGACAACATGTTCAGTGCTGCCTGGGACAAACACCATGACCTTCTCTGTCCAGGAGAGTTCTCTAAGGCAGTCACACAATCCTTTGGGGAATACACGGACAGAAGCAAGTGTTTCATGCGAGCAAATTCTGCCCTTGCTTGGTTAAGGCTATTACTCAGGGTCTGGGAGCTGCAACACAGCACACAGGCAGAAGGAAGGAAAACAAGGGAAAGATTTGTGTGCAAAAACAGACAGCAGAGCACCTCAATAATTCAGTGCAACTGAGGTGGGATTACTGAAATAGCCGAGTAGGGTGGCAGTTCAGCTCTCAGACTCCAAGGGTCATCAGGTTTTACTGGGAAAGATTCAGCCTGCTGAAACAAACGTTCAGACTTGTGTCAACATCTGCTGGAAAAACCAAACAGTAATGGGATCTCCCTGACCATACTACTGTAACTGCTAAATATCCATTTGGTTTTAATACCAAGTAGTGGTATTAAATAAGTAGTGGGTTTAGAATTACTTTTGTTCAGTCTCTAGGTTTAAAGCATGGTTGTCCTAACACAACAGCAGATTTTCTAACAAGACCAACTGGAAGATCTGTGGCTTCAGTTTCCTGTCAGTGTGGCCTGGACATGATGGCTATGGATAGAGCATAGTGGTAAAAAAATTGACAGAGCCATGATTTTTACCTGAAAGCCCCACTGTAGTCATAGTATCGCTCTTGGGAATTTCGTTCACATTTGTTCTGCCCAGACAAATCCCCTTTGCAGAGCTGACAGAGGGACTTGGGATAGTTTACACCATTTGCTCCAGGAACACAGCTTGCATTGAAATAGTCACTTACAGCTAAATGTGAAATTAAAACGAGAAATTTTTAGCAATGAATAAACAAGATCCCACAATCTCATTTTAACACATCTACACAGTACATCTCTAAAAACATTTAGAAGGGATAAGTCACTTTGTTCTTAAAAGACTGTTTCCAAGTTTAAAAAAAAACCCAAACCTGTCGTCTTCATCAGACTTACGTTAGGTCTATTCCACTTTACAAGGAGCACCAAAGCCAAGGAAGAAAACAGCAGCTAGAACCACACACTTCTGTCCACACAGAGGGTTCCAAGAGCATACAGCAACGCACTGCTGAAAAACAGATCTTTGCCCCGTAACTCTTACCTTTTGAAAGGTCACATCCCATTGCCGCCAGGCGCCCACTGTCAATTAGATAACCCACTGGCACATCCCAGCCTGCTGTTCTGTTGATGCCTGTGTGACATGAACTGACACCCTTCAAGCTCTCGATGGTGATGTTGGAGCTTTTCCTTGCCACAGCCACAGCATAATAGGAAGTTCCAATCTCTGCAGCGTAGGAAGAAAGAGAAGCAAGCACAGTAGTCTCTCAGCAGCATTACAGCGAGATTCACTGATTCGTGGCTCCCCTACCCACAGGCAAGTCGCATTGTTCACATCCTTGGTGAGAACCTGCTGACTGTGAATGAACGTCCTCCATTATCTTTTCAGTGTGAAATGTCTTAGTTAAAGGCCACAGGCAATCTGCTCTAACTTTGAAAATCACCCTGCTTTGAAAGAGAGGTGGGATGAAAGACATCCAGAGATACCTCCAAGAAGAAATTTTCCATGATTCTAAATATATTTGGATTGAATTGAAACAAATATAATTCATAGTAAAAAAAAAAATTATTCCCCAGTTGTCTACTAATTTGATCTTAATTTTGACACAGCATAGCAAGCTGATGTCACTAGAGCACCACAGCTGATTTAATTCTCTTTGTTCTAGTTTGATATAACTCATCAAGTCAAGAGTTCAGAGTCTGAAGTGACCATAAGGTCATTCAATCTGACTTTATTTAGATCAGAAATCATTAAATTTCATTCAGTTTTCTCTGATCTGAGCTCATAACCTGACTAATGGAGATAGTCAGCCTCTGGATCATGAGGCCCACTTGGGTTTGAGAAACGGAAGTACAGTGCATGTCTGTGCATGACCATCACCAGGGTCATGATGTGGTTAACAGTGGGGCGGGGGGGCTGCTGCAGGTGATCCAAGTCCCTGTGCACTGAGCCCAACGAGTACTTCTGAGGATGCCTTGGCCAGACCATACTAAGATGCAGCTGCAAACCACATCCAGCTCCATCTCACAACAGAGTGGTGGGACACCACTGCCTGCAGACTGCTTCCAGAGCTGTTCCTTCCCCTGGGGCTCTGAAAGTTATGGGGGACATCTTCCAGCTGTGAACTACACAAATATGTTGATACTGAGCCCTTGGTCAGGATGACAAGTCACCATGCAATTATTGTCTCTGTCCTGAAAGGAACTCAAAGCTTAAGGACACCCAGAAAAGGAGCAGAATCTATCACTTCCTTTCTTCTAGCAGGTAATCACATACACTATTAAAATAAAACCTAATTATTCTAATTTATGGGACTCAGAGATAAATCTAATAACAATTTGTGCTTTGCAATTCATTAATTTATCTGCAAAGTATGGAACAGAGAAGACATTAAGCAGTGAGATAGTAAAAAACAAACACACACACACAAACCCAAAAACCAAAAAACAACCCCACAAACCTACTACAGGAACAGCTATTCTGACCTAACTGCTTCACAAGAGTCTGCCACAGCCCTGTGTCTCCTGTTTCCCACACACATTCTGTTATGGGCAGGAACATCCCAAAGGGAACCTGACCATTACACCTACTGTTTAGTGTCTTCAAGAGGAAGACCCCAAAATAAAATGGAAACAGTAAAAATGAGTAACAAAAAGCTTGTATTAAGTAATCTAAAATTTATTTAGTCAGAGTTTACCTTGATTGTATACTTCCCCAACCACAGGTTTCAGACCATGCTGCTTTCCAGCCTGGTAAATCAAACGGCCATCCAGTATCACTGCATCTGCCAAATCATCCTGTGCAGACACAAGGGCAGAACACATGTTGAAGCTTAATTACCAGTATTTCTCAACAGCCAGAGGCAGAGTACCCATGAATTTAAGAGAAGAGGCCACTTAATCTGCATTTGTGAGTTTTCTTTTCTCCAAAAAGTTCTTTTAAGAGCACTCAAATTTCTGAAGAACAATCACCAAGAGGGATTTTAGAACTTCAAAACCGTCTTCCTTCAGAAATAATGCAGAAATCAGCCCTGGACCACAATAGCCTCACTAGTTTTCATAGTCCAAAGGAATCTTAGAAACGGATCGTGCAACTCTGTGATTAATCTTAAGACCCATCAATTTTAGGTTTCATTCGTCTTTATAGCTGGTGCCCCAAAGCTTGAAGATTTAAATGAAGTAAATATATTTTTGAGGTCTTAACACAGATAGTTTGAAGTAATGTCTTCTGGGGCTGCAACATCTGAATGCCAAAGTGTACTCAAAAGCAATCTTAAAGCATGCTGGCCTGTACCTCAGCAGCCAGCCACACTTTTTGGGAAAGGGGGAGCAGATGGCGGTACATATCAGAGAAGGAGAAAAGCACCTAAAAAGACTCTCCAAAGTGGGGGAATACAAATCTGGGGCACCCGCTGCTGGGAAGGTGTCCAACAATACTGTATCTTTTCAGTTGAGCATAACACCAAGCTGGCTGGAATCCTGCTACAGATGCAGGATTGCTCTGGACAGCAGGGGACAGGATCTTCCACAGCAGCAAGGACGAGAGAACTGCTATACACACCTCCAATCAGCTGCACCTGGTTCTCACTGTGTAATGAACCTAGTGGAAACCAGGAGAGGGCATCTGACAGAGAGACAAGATACAGCTTTGAAAATAATTAGCAGCTTGACATTTTGCATTTCTAAGCTAATTCCAAGTTTCTTATCAGTTTGCTTAACCTCTGGTTCGACACTGGAGAGGGTAATTTAGTTTACCCATCCCTTGGCAGTTTCCTGAGCACTGGTTAGGGTAGGGCTAGGACTATGCTGCCTAGTATACCACAGCAATTTCCCACAGGCTGAGCCACATAAGAAGCCTGAAAATTTTTTAAGGGATCATGTGAGAGCACAAGTAATACATTGATGTTGACACCTAAATCAGATTTGAAGTTGCCATGTAATTTGGAATATTTTACTTATTTGGCTTAAGGAAGAAAAAAGATGATATTCATTAATTAGCTGAAACAATAGATATCCTGAGAGATGCTTCTCATGAACAAGAGCTGAACAAAGCTCAAAAGGAACCTGGAGAGGAGTTGGGGTTGGGAGATATTTGTATCTTAAAGAACAGACACAATCTTTCTGGAATAACCAAATCTGACATTCCACTGGTGAAAGTCAGCATAGGATGACAGTTTAGGAATCAACTAAGGCATGTTGTTTAGAAGGGACACCTGAGAGTGGGAGGAAGAAGAGGAGGTGGGAGTTAAAAGGATCTTACTCTCAGGGAGAACAAAATAAGCGTCTAGAAGTGGTGGTGGACAGGGAACGGCTGGCCACAGAAGACAAGGACTGTATTACGTGGACATATTTCCATGTGAGATGGCACTTTTCTGATTAGAAAGCTGAGCCTTTGAGATCTGTTTAGCAGAAGAGCCTCCTATCAGTAGCTTGTGTATAAATAACAGTGTATAAATAACAGAACAAGACAGAAAAATGCCTATTGTTGTATCTAACATGAAGTAGTTTAGAGGCTACAGACCTCTCCTTTAAATGCATACAACCACTGCTGAGGTGGCGTATCAACGAGTGTGGGTATTTATTTTTTTTTTAGCAAGCATTTGCCAATACATTTAGCAAAAGCACAGGATTATTCCACATATAATTTTTTGATAAGTATATGTGCAATCGTAATACTCTGCTAGGGACTTCATTTCTGTGTGTTACTGATGTTTGAGAATTACTTACAGAAGTGTTTAAAGACCTGCTGAAGAATAGCTCTAGTCACATCAAATATTGTCAGGTTCCCTGGTTTAATATTTAGACATTTCTCAACTTTTAAACACCTTCAAAGAAAAAGGTTTTTTACTTTATCCATGTGCTAACACATTCATAGGACTAAGTCCAAGCTATGCAGTGTTATAAAACAGCATATCTCTGCCTCTTCAGCCATTGCATCCCACTCCCTTTCTGGCCTCAAAGAGCAGAGTTCAGTGCAGATGCAGACTCAGGGGTTCCACGCAGTTCTACACAGAGTAGGCCAGCATAAACATTTAGTAGATTATTAGCACAAGAGAAAAAGAGGTTGCAAGGACAAAGCCTTGTCTGAAGCCTTACAGTGAAGATTCATTTTATCAGAAAGCTACTTACTCATGCTATCTGCCTGCAGGTTTCTGAGTTCAGATAATCAAGTTTTATAGGAAACCAAGATTTTAGGTAGGTGCCTGCTGCTTGCAATGGCTTACAAATGCAATTCTGTGTGCACTCTATTTAGAAGCAGACACTCGGCACTTTTAATAACCTGCTTTGCAGAGTATAACATGTCCCTCTGTGGAACGCAGCAATCAGCCAGGTGGTTTTAGGAAGATCTGACTTTAGGAAGTATTTCCTGTCTAATCCTGATGTATCTGTATCTGCTTCTAACATTCTTTTCAATATAGTCTTGATTCCCTCACTCAGAAACAGTATTTATCAAGAGGCAATGAGGTAGTTTTAGGAGTCGGACAACCCTTCTGCTTCTGTTGACAAAAAATTACAAGATACCAATTTCTGAAATTTGTTACTTTTTTTCTGGCCACACAAGCACCTGCCTCATCTCCCTTCAAACTACTCTGCTGGGCCTCATTTCCTAGCTCTGAACCTCTTGTCCGTGACAGGCTGCATCTCCTCCACAAAGCCCTGATTTTTGGACATGCCTACACAGGGTACACAAAGAATATTATTAACATAGCCAGCCATCCTATGCTTCCCCCACACTCTGCCATTGAAGACAACCATAATTACCTGCCATCACATGTCCTCCAATATCCACTCGTTGCCTCCCACCTCCTCCTAAGAGGGGAATTATTTTCCACACATAATTTTGCAAAGCCACATATTTAGAGTCTTTAAAACCTTCCCCAGAGCCATGCTCCTTTTGGAAACTGAGCACCCTCTGGGCAGCTGAATTAATACAGCTGGGTTTACGTGCCCTTTGCTCACCCTGTTTGCTGCATTGTCTCTCTTGTACTCCAGTGCTGGGAGATTTGATTTAGCTTTACACTCATCTCATCTGTATACACAGCAATTTCCATGATGGGACTCTGAAATGGGAGTTTGATCCAGAGTTTATCGAAATACAATCTACTTATATGCTTAGCAGTGCAGCTTTAACTACTGTCTGCATCTTCCAGCTCCATCCCTTCTTAAGTATCTGCTAAATAAATCTGACACAACTCCCGAATCAAAGATTAGCATGTGGAAGGAAATATTTAAGACCTCTGCTGTGTTCCTAACGACCGGCCTTATGTGACTAGCCAAACAGACAAGACAGAGACATTTTGACATTCAGATTCCTATGTATACCTTTATGTCTGTTTTAAAAAATATATGTTTTCATTGTTCAGAGACATGAATGCCAGGAAGAATATGATCAGCTGCCTGGATCATCAGACACTCACCACAGAGCTGTGTACATTACCACTGGATTATTATTAGGCACATGAGGAAATTAAATCAACAACACTGCTGTCACTCACAACTCACCTTGATCATCTGTGTACAGTTAGCAGCTGATCCCCCCTCTGTACACTCCAGAGGGGGAAGGATGCCAGCCCCACCAAAGGCCTTACTCATGTCATTACACTTGGAAAGTTCTTGCTCAGAGACAGTGCACCAACGGATACGTTCCAGGCTGAAAGCTACAAACACAACACCAAGAGAAAAATATTACAAAACATATCGGTGCCATTGTAACAGAGCTTAGCATTTGAAGGTTCCCAAAGAGCTAGCCTTTCATTCCATTCCTCCTCCCAAAACAAAAAGAAATCAGAGCTCTTTCAACAGTAAGTCTTTAAAGATGGTTCCTACTTTCATTGAGATCAACATGAATACTGAAGTTTTTTGGACTGGAAACAGGATAGGCTCAGACTCAGATACTGAAAGCCAATGGCATTGGTTTCTGACATAGGAAATATGAGCACCATGGAACAGGTCAGGGCATCCAGACTATTCTTAAAACTTTGCAGAATACATCATCTTTTCTTGAGTCAAAAGTGTTTAAAATGATTATTTAAAATGATACACTACAAAACCAAAGAGGCTGTCCAAAGACAACTCTGTCTCAGGCATTGCCAGTTAGTACCTGGAGTCCTGCCCCAGTCCTTTTTGGTCTGAATAAAAAAAAGCAATCTTAGGTGCTCAAGAGCCTTGCCACTATGCTTATTATGAAAACCAGAAAAGCAAACTTGTCCCTTCAAAACACTCTTGCATAAGAGGCCATTTCCACAGTCACGAAAAGGGGAGGGGGTTCCATGAATGAAAAGACTCAAGCTTAGTAGTGGAGATTCCATTAATCAGCAAAGAAAGGCGTCTTTCAGCAGACTTTTGTAAGGACATGTCACCATGCACCAACAGTGCAGCTGTACATAAAATGCATATGCAAGTATGGTTTCTGTTGATAAAGAAGCACCAATCATTTCTGTAAGCAGGAGGCACCACGTTCCATTGCTTTTCTACAATTTTGATTTTTAAGTTGGAGTCTGCTCTAAGTTATTTGTCATGTGGTTTTCTAACTCTTAACTGGCCCTCTACCTCCCCACCATTGTCATGCAGTTGAGATACCACATCTAACCTTGCAAGTTAAAATTACTCCACTAGTGCTCAACAGTAGCCATGCACATTTTCTGACTTCGTGGCTGCAGACTAAACAAGACCGTTGATGCTATAAAGCTTGTTTTGGACCCAATACTGAAACAGAGGATTTGGCTTGCTGTTCCACTTGCAACTCGGAGCCAACTCTACCGCTGTCAACAAACATTAAGTCAGACTTGGAAAGCTTACAGGAAGTTTTCATGGCAGCATGTGCTAGTAGAGGGAGAAACAACTACCCACCTCTGAGTTGCAGATATTCTGAGAACCAAGATGGTGAGAGGAAAGGCACAACAGCGTCATGGTAAAAAGGAACCTCACAGAAACTTAACATCTGCTTCATCTACCTGGGTGAAATTTTCACCATTAACTTCTAGGGGCACAAGGAAGAACCTAAGTTTTCATTGATACAGGGGTTTGGGTTTTTCTTCTCCTAAACCCAAGCAAATAGAAATTAAATTGAGGTCTCAGCATCTCAGTATACATGGACTAAGCACCATTCTTCAGCCTCAGCATTCTGGTTTTAGATATAAACACAGAGCAGATAATGCATGAGTTGTATACGGCTAATGATTTCTTCATACACCTGAAACAAAGCTCATTTGGCTCCATATTTCAGCCAAACTAGTGAAACAGCATTAATCTGTTGCTTTTTTCCCCTCACTCATTTAAGAGATGTAATTAATTTGAACCTTTCCAAACGGCTGAACTTTGTTGTTACAGGAAAGCCAGATTCTGGGCAATTCCCTGTTTCCTTCCTTACAAGTTAAGCCATTTAAAGTGGGCTTGAGCACAGACAAGGTCTGTAGTTAGCCTCTCTTCCTATTGCCAACCAAGAACATCTTAAAACAGCAGGTCAGTCTCTGAACCCAAGTTTATTCACAATTTTGGCCCTTCTGTATATCTGTAGATATACATAAAGCATGAAATGGCAGGAGCTGGCAACTTCCATTTGAAATACACTCAAGGTCCTAAACACACATATAACTTCATCACCGGCAAACATCCAGTTAAGTCCTTTGCTGCAAGTAACAGTACTATGTTGTGTAACATCTTATCAAATGGCTATTAATACAGCTATTAATACACTATCAAGGGCTTTCAATAGAAACAATGTAAAAAAAAAGATAAACTAGGGTAATTTCTTTTTGAAGAACTAGAGAGTGGTTCAGAAACAGCATCTACACCTCCAGTGAAATTAAGAGCATTTACCATTAGAATTTGGGAGTGACAGGAGAAAGCCAACATGTTGCACAGAGCATAAGTGAAATCAGGCAATTACTTCTATTTTTACAAAACAAGTGTCACAGAACTGTTCACACTTGTGAGAAACAGACACCGCTGAACCAAGTAGATTCAGTGCTCAGGAAAATACAACATTTGACACCAATGAGTCAAGGCACATACATGGTGTTCAATGCAGGTTTTTTACTACTTTTCTATTTTTTCTATTCTTTCTTTCTATTTCTCTTTCTGGCCACATGAGGTTGGTTCTGAAATGGTTCTAGTTCCCCTCTGCTCTCTCACATCACAGAGAAGTCAACCCCGAAGGCACCATGCCACAGCAGAAGTATTGAGGGCACTTACCAGCATGAAAGAAGAGAAGATACAAGACATTTCTGGAGCTCCTCATGGTGAAATTTTTGGGATTTCTGCTTTTTCCAGCCTTCAGAACCCCCAGAGATCAAGGCTTCTGCAAGTGTGCTCTCCCCAGCCTGCTCTTTGGTGAAAATCAGCAGCGTTCAATTGCAGGTGTACTTTGTTCAACACTTTATCTTGCTTACCTTAGCACACATCACCTCATGACTATGGGAGGGAAAAAAAAGCCTACCTTTCTTCACACTGCCTCTACACTTGCCAAAAAAATTCAGACTAGGAAATTGCAAAATATCTGAGACACCAATGAGGTTGTAACAGCTTTAGCACCACCTATAGACTTAGAGAAACAGCTACACACTGACTCATGGGGTAAGGCAGGGCTGTGTAAAGAAATCCTCACTTTCAGTATGAGTTCCACGTACTCCCTATGTGTTGGGGCTCAGGAAGCGAAAGCAGATTCAAGCTAAGCACTTTATCTGACAGAGCTGATAGTCAATTTTTTTTTTTGCCACATTCTCAGCATTGTCATGAATTTCATAAAGCCATAACAAGAAACCCAGGCTTTTACAATAGTGAAGCCTGTACACTCTACAGGTGGTACAGTGCATGCTAAGTGAACAGATCCTGAAATTTAATAGCAAGTGCTATGAAATAGCTGAAATAGTTTTATTTTTTTCTTAAGGTTTTAGAGAAGGCTCAGGAAGGCCTCTCTCTCCCAGAAAGTAAAAACTCTGCTGACAATAGCTCTGTTAAAAGCTGCTGTGGCTTTTAGAGTAGCTTTCACAGAGCAAGTCATTTGTGCTGCCCTTTTCTTCATTTCTCATTAGTCAATGAACTGCAGCTGCCTGCAACACTTTGTTTAGATAAAAGCCATTTAACCCTGCTTTGCTCTGCTGACTGCCATTTCTCAGCTCAGCACCCAGCTACCAGAAAAAGAACAGCTGTGCACCACCATGAATATCCATGCACACGTCTTTACTGTCTTCTACCAAAAACACGCATGAATGACAACTGTATGCATCCTTCAGACAGTCTATACATCCAGTAATGTTGCACGGACGCTTTCAGGAGTTAGTTACTTAGCTACTTGACTGCAATTTGGCCAGGCTGCTAGCTGTAACACCTACTAGCACCTGTAAGACAACAGCAGTTGTCAATTAACTGCTATTTCAAGTTTAGAACTTAAAAAAAATAATGACCCCTCCAGATACTCCTCTTAAACAAAACCTTATGGCTGAACTCTTGACTCTTGGCAGCCTAGACCACCTGGAATTAGTCGTCCCTTTGTTGTCTAAAGTGCTAAGGCACAACACGGCACCACTGGAGTCCTTCCGAATTTCTGGATCCAAATCTATTCTTCGGATCCTTCCTGTGCCCTTCCCCCTGGCCTGATTAACCTCTCAAGCCCTCTGATGCTTGCAGTGAAGGCTTATGTACATATATAGATGACAAGACTGATGCACAGTCCTAGCACCAGTTGCTTAAGACTGCAAGGGCAAGATTAATAAGAAATAAATTCAGTACCAGGCCTCTCCTGTGGTTCTGATCCTCTACGAGAAAGGTTCAGAAGGTAGAGGAGCAGCCTTTTTGAACAGGAGGCCTATTCTGAATGCAACCCCCACTAAACCATCACACAAGCACAGTTCATGGTAATTCAGCTCATTTTCCTATTTTATTCATAACTCTATAAATATCTATGCTTTAAGAAGATATTAAATGTCTTAACCTAATTTTCAGCACAATTTAAATAAAAATGCCTGCAAAGAAATTATTAATATAACTTAAAACAAGAATAAAAAGCAGGAAATACTTCATCAAGCATGCTTCTGTATAGCAGTTACAAATAGTTGGGTTAGCAGGCAGCAAAGAAAACCCATAGTGCCGTCACTGGGCCAGCAAAAGCAGGGTGGTAATGCATCAGTATGACACCATTTGGATTTCCTAATTACTATAGTTATTAAATTGGAAGCCTTAAAACAAGTACATGTGTTGTAAAATATACCTTTAAAATACAGAAAGTAAAGTGTGCCCAAGAATCAAAGACAGATCAGCACCTGATACTGGAAAAATGAGATCCAGAGAAACAATAATCAATGCAAAATCCTAAAAATTACAAGATAGAACAAGTCAACCAGGAGCATCAGGGTTGTCAAAATCAACTTTTCTGCCAGGGCTCAAGGGCAACACCTGAAACAAACAAAACAAAAAAAAATGCAAAGAAGATACCCAAGAGTCCTTTGGGTTTTCTTGATCCAAGACTTGTTTTCACTCTAGCATGACAACCATGCAAGGTAAGTACTGTGGACTTCAGTCCGAGTGTAGTATTTGGTGACACAAACGCCTGGGAGAAAAGTTCTGTGAACGTTATTCAGATGCTCCCAATACATCAAAGAGTAATTCCTCACATATCTACTCAGCTGAACAGGACTCTTTCTGATGGGTTAAAAAAAGAAAAAGGTCAGAAAAAAAGTGTATACAATACAGAGATTTCAGATGTTATAGTTTGCAGATTTGGCAGCTGAGATTCAGATCCTTCTTTTTTTTTTAATGTTGGTCTGTTTTAAGACGTCTCACTATACACCTCAGATAATCAGCCATTTTCAAAGCAGCCGACTATAATACACTTTTAGCTCCTTTAAAAATTTATGACATGATTTGCATCAATCTGATAAACCTTGCAGTTCCATAGACAGAAGTCTCAAAAAGACAGCACACCTAAGTCACAAATCTAGAAAAACAAAAACTGTTTTGGGCCATACACCAGCAGCTTACACTTACTGTAAGTCTTATAAGCATTCCACATAAGACCAGCAATATTTGTGTCCCAAGTTTAAACCTGCTTTTAATGTAATCACTAGGCTCATTCTGGCCACCGGTGTTCCTCTAATGCATTATTTTCATTTACATCCGATTCAATTATTTTAAAATGCTAACACACCTGTATTTCTTTTGATTAAAAACACACTTGACAAATATATTGTACAATAAAGTTTATTAGCTGTTCTCCTCTTTCTAACAAATGGAATGGATAGTGTTGGTAATTCTTTACAAACCAAAGCTGATTTGGTTGTGTGACTGCCATAAGTACATCCCTCTTATAAACAATCACTTGCAAACAAGCAATGGCAGGTACCAAATAATATGGGAATTAGAGAATTTCATTACTGAAGGTAGTTCCATGTTTTGGTACAACATATTTATAACATTCGGCACAGAAGTTTGTGCATTGCAAATGGAAGATCTTGTGCCTATGCAAGATGAACATGTACAGAAAAATAAAATGTATTGTTGACTCTGAATTCTCCCTTTGGTTAAGACATGCATATTACAAGGCAGGGGGTGGGGGGTGGTGGTAGGTGTGACAAACACCAGAAATTCCGTAGAAAAGAGGAGAACTTGCATGTATTTTTTTCTTGTAACTAATGTTCCCTGGACTTTATGCCCAGCCACCATAGCCCATTTGATTTCTTGTGATTAAGGAAGGTAAATTCTAATTTGTATTTTTATTCAAAACAAAAAGCTAGGAGTAGGTGGTAAAAG